TTCTCTTTCTGTGCCAGAGTTCTAAATTTTGTCTTTTCCTGGTGTCCCAAATATCCTGCCTATCTCCTTCCTGTCATTTTTTAAATTTGCCATTTTGTTTCATTGCATGAAACAAAATAAATGCCCATGGTCAAGCCCTGATAGTTTATCTTCCACCTGATTCATTCTGTTGGTTAGGTAAACTTTATATCTGACTAATTTTCATTTCCGGCTGCATCTGTTTGGGTTTTCTTCAGTGTTTCTATCTCTTTATTGAATTCCATTTTCATAACATGAATTATCTTCCTTAGTTCATTTAGCTATTTTGTTTTCTCTGACTTCAATCAGCTTATTTTTGTTTTCTCTAAGTCCATTCATGACTTTATTTGTGTTGTTTGAATCCTTTGAAGTCTTTAACATGTTTCTACTAGTTCTCTTTAATTCAATGTCTTTTATTTTTTCTAAATTATTCTCCTTCAGAACCATTTCTATGTGATTGGTGATTTTAGGGACAGGAATAATGTGTTGGCATTTTTGTATTGCTTGTGTTTCAGGGATGGAACTGGGTATCTGGAATTAGGTTGTTGGCTATGACTTTTGATGTGTATTTTTAGCCCACCATGTCAGAGTTCCAGGGTAGGACAGCAGGGTGCATGGGGCTGTGCAGCTAGGAGGTTCCTGTGATGGCAAGGGTGAGGCCAGGCTGTTTCAGGTCTCTTACTGGGTTAGCTCTGTTCAGCTGAGTGGCTCAGAAAGTTTCCAAGGTAGCAGTGGGTAGGTCTGGGGGTTTCAGGTCTCTTACCAGGCAGGCTGTGTGTGGCATGGAGTAGCCAGGGAGGCTCCTGAGGAAGCGGGAGGCTCATACATTTTCAAATAGAGCATCTTGAAGTGCTCTGTTTGGTCTTATCCTGCTACCGATTCCTTCTATTACATTTATTTTTTTTTCTAAGGCTATTTTGCAGGTCAAGACTTTGATATATTTTTAAATGTTTTTATGTCATTAAATCTCTCTGCTAGATTGTGGATATGGAGCTTTCTTTAATCTCATTGTGCATCCTTAAAATAGTGATTATAAGTTCTCTGTCTTAGAGTTCTCCCATAGTAATTACCATTTGGTTTCTGGCCTCTTATTTTAAGTACTAGGTATTGTCAGTTTCCTGAATGTTCTGATGCTTGTTAGTACATGACATTCTGTGAGGACTGATTGTGCATTTTTTCCAGCCTTCATCATCTGGCTCTGTGCTGTCCAAAGATTCTAAGCAGGGTACTCATTTTCTCTGAACCTAGAATCTCTTTGATCATTTCATCACTGAATAGTGCCTAGACCCAGGTTTTCCAGTAGTGTATGGTCAATGTTTGAGTAATAGAGAACGAACTAAGCCCAGGTTTTCCCAATATACTACTGGCATTCAATTCAGAAAGAGAAAGAGAGTATCTCCCGGTAGTTACCTGCCTCCACTTTTCCTTGAGGAAAGAGCAGGCCCAGATTCTTTATCCACAGTGAGCCTGTGCTTAGATATGCAAGGTTGTGACCATCTCTGGACAGTCAGCATAGATAGACCAGCCTGCTATGGCCAACAGCATAGCTGAATGATGTCACACTCTGAGTCCACAACCTTTCAAGACCAGCTAATACTAGAGGAGCAGACTTCAGACCTAAGACCACTGCACTGAGTTTCAGGTGATGCCACCCACCATAGAAATCTGATGGACTGGGACTAAACAGTTTATGCAACTGAATCTGGTTCTGGGGTTCCATCCACAGTCAGGCTGGAGATGGGGCAATTATGATCTCCTCAGTGTTAAATTTCATCAGAGCATTAAGTTCAAGAACAATTTCTGGTGCTTACCACCCAGTGGATAGGGTCTATATCATGTTATTAAATTGAACTGGTGGTAGTGAAGGCAGCCCATTGCCTGCCAAGCCTGAGATGGGTTGTGCCTAAGTCTCATAGCTCCAAGGATCACCATAGATTTTTGGGTCTATCTGGACCCACACCACAGCTGGTCCAATCATGAGGCTATTCTACAGAAGTACAGGTATTTTTAGTCACTAGAGCCTTGGCTATGAAACACTGTACTGAAGATACCTATGCTGCCTGAGATGAGAACAGAAAGATGGAAACAGTCCTTGGCCATCAAAGGTGGCACTGTGGATGTGTCACATCCCTAAGAGCCTGTACAATTTTTGGAGAGAGCAGATGTGCTCCTGGCCCCCTCCAAGGCTGGAGCAGCTGCAGTGCAAATGTGGGTCTGCCCCACCAATGTACATGTCCTTGCCTCATAGTGGGGGTTGAGCTTCTCTGTCTGTGAGCTCTCGACTGTATATGGGGCCTCCACATTTTACCAGGTGCCAGAGTCTCACCACAGCATGCCAGCTTCAGTGTTCTATGACAAAGCCCTTGTGCTAGCTTTAATGCCACACTCTCCAATGGGGTGGAGACTTTCTTCCTAAACTCTGCTGTGTAAGGTTGGGGGAGAGTGGCAGAAGCAGTCGAATGGTCTAACACGGTTCTGGAGGCTGTGTCCATGAGTACTGTTCTAGTAGTGTGGTCTCACTTCTTTCTTTCTCCTCCAAATAGAAGCTGTCTCTCCATGTAGGCCTAATTGGAGTTGTGGAAGAGGTGATACAAGCAACTTTTTCTTATCATCCTTGATGTCATCTAATTTTTTAAAATAGCAAATGTGGGAGGGACTATGTCATATAATTTTCTGAGCTCTTATGAAAGTAGTTTAGTGAACTGTGTCTTACAGGGAGAAGTCCTGGAAGGGCCTTAGCTACCATTGGGCTTTGTCTTTACAAATTAAACTTTGATTTGGTAAAGTTCTTTTAAAATTCAGGGGGCTGGAGAGATGGCTTAGCGGTTAAGAACACTGGTTGTTTTTGAAGAAGACTCAGGCTTGAATTCTAGCACCCACATGGCAGCTAACAACTGTCTGTAACTCCAGTCCCAGGGGATCCGACAGCCTCTTCTGACCTCCACAGGCATTGTACAACATGGGTGCACATAACTACATGCAGGCAATACACGCATATACATAAAATAAAAATAAATAAATAAATAAAATTTAGACATGGATAGGATTAAGTGAAGGAGACCTAAGTTATTTATCATCCACTGATTCTCAACCAATAATTTCTGCATGTATATAGATGTACAAAGTTAGATCATTTCATGTCATCTTTGGTATTCTAATCACATATCTGTTTAAAGTAATGACTTGCAATGACCCAAATAAATATTCTGTGCTGTGGACATTTTGTCCTAATATTTTTGGTTAAGGATGATGTTACCTGTACCGTTCATCAATAGGCTGATCAAATTGAGAAAACTGAAGGCCAGTAAGCAGAAAAGAGGATATGGAGAAAAAAGTAATTGTCATTGGGTCAGTAACTCATATGAACTCACATCAGTGGTGACAGCATGCCCAAGTCCCACGTAAGTTCATGCTAGGCAGAATATAAGCCTGATCATGGGGAGGTGGGAGAGAAACCCCAACATTAACTTGAGGAGCTATTGGCAACCAGTGGCTGGTGGGAAGGGAAGGAAAGGGGAGATTCAGTCCCATTTAAGGGTGAGACTCTTAGTAAGTTGACCAAGCTCCAGTGGATGAATTCCCACAGAAGGGCATTTGAGGACACAAACCTGACTCTATAGGCATGTATATATAAACAAACACACACACACACACACACACACACACACACACATGAAATTTGGTGGGGGATGGTAAGGGAGGTGCTGACAAAGGAGGATATCAAAATATATTACATGAAATTTGCAACAATTCAATTTTTAAAATTCATTCAGTATTCAGATTTCCAAATTATGCCTGGGCAATGGGATTGTTTCATTAAGTTATTATTTTCATGGTAACAAGGTTTCTTGATGCTGATGATTAAGTTAACATGCTGTGCTTTTCCTTACCTTGACTCAGATATGCAGCTGGTTGCTGCTGGCCTCCTACTATTCATTGATTTGGGCAAGGAAACAGTCACCCTAAAACCCATCTTTATCTGATAATCTAATGAGCATATTTTCTTCCTTTCTATACTTATGTTTCTGAGGTGATCACTCCTGCCAAATGAGGTCAGCTGGAACAACAAGAATCTATTGTGTTTTAGGACTTTTGTTGAAGCTGTCAAGGAAGTTCAGGGTTCCACTCACATGGTTTGTGGTGTCATAATCTTGACAACTCCAGGACCTCATAAATGAGCTTAAAGCTAGTACTAACTAAGCAGAAACAAGGCAAGAAGATTGGGACGTATGTTGAGAAGAAATCACTTGAGTCCTGAAACCATCTATGTCCTTGATGTTTTATTATGAGATCATTCTTATTTGGAGGGGAGGCAGATGAGTCAAGAAACACCTTTCTATTCCTATAGGCCAATTTGCAAAAAACTTTCACTCACTCACAACTGCCAGTCCTACTTTCCTTGGCAGCACAAGTCTGAATGCAATGTTATCTCTTCAATGTCAGCCTCACTTAGAGTAGTCTCTGGATACAAACTACAGCAGAATCCGTTTTGTTCAGAGCCTCTTCCCTCAAGTGTAGAGCAGTTCTGATCTATTATTAGCATTTAGTAACACTGAATGGCTGAGTAAATAATCCAAAGCAAGCATTTTCTCAGCCTCGTTCCCAAAAGTATAATAAACACATACCAAGGAGCTATTTTTATGCATAGGAAAGCTGTGGTTTCTTTCCAGATTATACTGGCATCCACTGTAATCACATTACATGGCAGTTGCCTTTTACAGGATCAGGCATTACCAATGATCGCAAATATGGATGGAATCAGTGCCTCTTTCTTCACTGTATGAATGTGTGCATTAATGCTTTGAGCTTGTGTTTGCTTATCATGGAAAGTGCTTCCCTACGGTAGATACTTATAAAGAGCAGGTTCTTGGTAAATAGAACTATTATCAATACACAGGAAATAACTAGACAGCCAGAAAAGAGGGAACAACTAGTTAGTTCAGAAGTAACATGCTTGAGTGGATAAAAGCAAAGGCCAGGGCTGCATAACACTGACATTTTTATTAGAATTCATTTGTAACAAATGGAACTTGTGTCAGCAAAGAACTGATTTTCATACAGACTCCTTTCGCCACCAATGTAACGAAGTAAGAAAATAAAAAGCACGCCTTTCATTCTGTAAAACATTTACGCGTACTACTTAGAGGTAATTGTATTTTTTTAACAAGCCATTTTACAAGTTATTTTTTAAGTTTTCAGTCTGTGCATCCAAAACGAGAGCAAAGAACACAACTGTTATTATCTTTGTAAAGACACTCCAAGCTTGGATGGCAAAGCCATGTAACGGATGGATAGGATGGATCTGTAGCCTTCTGATCTCTGCGGAGTATCAGGGGCACCCATAACCCAAAGGAAATCAGAACCCAGGAAGGAAAAGAAAAGGGAGTAAAAAGTAACAAGAAAGACTGAAACAAAGCTAAACCAAAAATCAGCAGGAAGGAAAAAAGTGCAGTACTGCCATTCTTTCTTTCCTGTTCTGACGCTGTGTTATTTACAGACACATAAATGAATTTCTGAAGCAGTTTCTTACAGATGGGTTCAAGTAATAACATTATTGGGTGTAGAATCAATAGGGCAGTGCATAGTACAAAGGTGTAGAAAGTGCAAAGTTCCCTCGAGGCCCTTCCCTCCCCTGGCTGTCCTCGCCTTGTCTAACCATGCAAATCATTTTTAAAAAAGAGCTAAAATAAAGTTCTGTACAAATCACTTTTTATATATTTTGATATTTTACCATTGTAACTAATTACAAAATTATACATAACTACACATACATAGGTAAATAATAGCACCTTACTGGTTATGATGATGAAAATAATTGGCAATGTGGAAGTTTATGGTAGTGGCAGATAATGATGTTTACCTGGGAAATTAAACTCAAATGACTGGAGAGCAAAGTATAGAATGGAATGCACATCAATGACAGCGAGCGGTTAGTTCTAGGAACAGCTCCTGATTCTGGGATAGCATCCACCTCTCGCCTAAGGTATGCATCCTGTTCATTTTCCTTCTTGTGATCTTTTCTCCTCTTTCCCTCTGCCACGTGGGCAGTTTTTATTTCAGGGAGACAAACTGCTCATTGGCCAGTCATTGTCACGTGTGATACTCCATCCGATCCCACATGTCCAAAATGGCGTGTCTAGATGACGCAATGCCTGTCTGACCCCCATCGTTTCACAAAAAGAAAATGACAGCACTGAGTAATCTGGCACTTGGATAAACCTTCAAAGGTACAAGCTAAAAGAAGACAGCAGACCCACAGAGTGCACGTTCTTCTCTGTTTCTGATGAAGGTAAGAGAGTCTCATTCTGAGGTAGCCTTCTAGATTCTTTTTTTTTAAATATTATATGTATTTCTATTTTTTCTTTTTTTCTTTTTTTGTTGTTGTTTCTTTTCTTTTTTTCTTTTTTTTTCTTTTTTTTTTTTTTACAAAGGTGCTCAAATACGATGCTTGCAAGGATTTGGTCTCTACGATTTCATTCTGCTAGTGATGGGAAAATGTGAAAATAAACGTCCTTCCATGCAGAACGTCCATGAGGCTAAAATGAAAGCAAAATAGTATACCTTTATCAGAACTCCTTTAGAGTCCTTAGGGTTTTTTGAGGGTACTTTAAAATCATAGTGCGTGGCAAACTCGTGCCACCATCCATGGCTTCCTATAGAAATGATGTTGGAAAATTTGGGGAGGTATATATTATTTATTGCCCCTTTCAGAAAAATCCTAATATCAAATATATCCCAAAGTTGCCAATGTTTGTCACTATAAATAAAATGGGTGCAATTACTACATGCTTCAGAGCAGATTTGGAAGGAGTTCTAAATAAAACAAGTAGCTCTTCCTGATGTTGACGATTAAGAACCGGAAGGCCCTGATTATCCAAGTGCTTTGGGCTGGGTACAATCACTAACATCCAGGACTTGGCTGAAAACTAGGAATGCATATTATTCAAAGAGTTTCTGTACATGTGGTAAACAGATAAAGCTTTAATTGAAAGAGTAACAAATATGAACAACTAATGGAAATATGAACCAAAAGGTAAAAGGAAATGCTATTAAAATAGGCATCAATTATAAGGCACTCTAAATGCAAAACTAAAATCAAATCAAAATAGTACAGCATCTCCCAGGAATGCTGCAGGACACACAATGCTTCTGACTGGACAGAGTAACGTGAGTTTGGCTTTGCCCTGTTACATATCATAAATGCAAATTTCATAGCACATACTATAGACAATATACGATTGAGTATACTTTTTTTTAAAAAAACAACTTGATAGCTGATATATTACAACATTCTTCCCCCCTAAAGGGATATGCACTGACCTTTCCCACATGCACACTTCCTAGATATTTAATAATTGTTATTGCACTAGAGTGTTAGAAGTACTGAATTTTGTTGGAAGCCTGGCTAATAAAATAGTATTTGTGAATATGATTGGGTAGGTGGGGGAGACTCAGGGGTGAGGCTCGTTATCACTGATGTGCACTCCTCAATTCCCTTTAAAAAATAACGTTTTGCTATATTAGGAATAACGTGGAAAAGATGTTCACAATCATTTTTCTATTCTCAACAAAACCATGAAATCATGGAAGAAGTGAATAACAGTTAAATCTTTGTGTTGGGCAAACTGTCTATATAGACATAGATACCTTTAAAATATGGATACCTATGCATATATATGTTAGCAGCAACTTTATACTTTGCGCCTCCCTGTTGATTCAAAAACAAAACAAAGCAAAACAATATTTTCCTTGATTACTTGAAGAGATTGGGTACTTTCTGATCTGTTACTACCAACAGATGTATAAAAGTAATCTGTTGAGACTGATACTGTAGATCAAGTGTTGCACAAAAATGTGCAAAGCTTCAAATTATTTGATATTTCTACAGCAAGATATTACAGATAACCATTCTACAGCATAAGAAAACCTGTAATTCAGAAATTAAACAAATGAAGAGTTATGTAACTTTTAAAATTTACTTTATCGAATGATACATTTTGTTAAAAAAAAAAGTTTACACAGTTAGAAATGAAGCACAGGTCAGCAGAATCTTTACAATACTAAAAAACTAAATCAAGGACTTTCTTTTTAAACATCCCCACCCTTACCCCTATAATGGAATTATGAGTTGCTTGGGGGGAGGGGTGATGCTGAGGCAGAGGCCATCTTCTTGTGAGAAGTCATACCAACAGATGCCTTGGGCTGAAATGTGGCACACAGGCAATTTCTCTCTGTACCTATCAAGCATTCCTGAACAAGATGGTGGTTCTTTGCTGTAATTTCTTCTTCCCTTTATTTTGAATCCTTGAGGTATCTGTAAATAAATCCTTCAGATGCCTCCTAAGTCAGGATTCTTGATGTTATTTTTCAGGTTAGATGATTAAACTGTGAATTCTTGGTCCACCTGGAAGAGTTTGTTTCTTTGTAATAGTTCCACTAAGTGGTTGTTAGCTAGGAGTTAAGAAGGACTTCTCAAGTGCCCTGTATGGCTCAGAAGAGACTCCATGGATATTGAAGGGCCTGTGTTAAAAATCCAGAAAGGGTCAGGGGTTTCTACGTTGCATAGTGATCAAAGCTGCCCAGGTACTCCAGTGCAGCTCGATAGCAAAACTGGTACTGATCCTGCAGGAGACAGAGGATGAGGGGCAAGAAGAAACACCGTCAGGTTAACAGAAAAATGAAAATCAGTATAGGGCCCTAACACAAAGTTGTACCTACATGGTAGCAAAACCACTACTTAATTGTTTCAATCCAATGACCAGTCAATGACAGTGAGCAAGAAACAGTGGGCCACACAGGGACCTTCACCAGTTGGTCTAACAAGACAAGGCTTCTAACTCCAATCAGTGGCTGCTCTAGTGAACATTATACAGAAAAGTAGAGAGCATTGTCCACGTGGCAACCTGTTATCACCAGCTGAACACACTGCCTTCTTATGGCCACAACCATCTTTTATGATGATTTGGGTATTTGTCATAACTAATTCTCAGCTGGCACAAAATCAAACTGCCTTCAGGGAAATCTGGATTTGGATTTTATGGGCTGCCGCTTATCAAATTTGAGTTAAAAAAAATCAGGGACTGGTGAGATGGCTCAGCAGGTCAAAGGTGCTTGCTACGAAGCCTGATGACTGGGCTTTGATCCTTAAGATCCACATGATGAAGAGAAATCGCTCTTTACAAGATGACCTCAGACCTCCACATGTGTGCTGTGGCTCCCACATAAATAAATAAATAATAAATAAATAAATATAAAAATATCAGACTCTTGGTGGGTCCAGTGGATAGACCCACACTGAAGGGCATTTGGGAACAGAAATCAAACTCTACAGATCATATTACATCTATCTATCTATCTATCTATCTATCTATCTATCTATCTACCTCATCTACCTATAATCTATCAACTATCTATCATGTATCATCTATCTATCATCTGTCATCTATCTATCATCTATCTATCATTTTTCTATCATCTATCTATCATCTATCTATCTATCTATCATCTATCTATCTATCTATCTATCTATCTTCTATCTTCTATCATCTATCTATCTACCTCATCTATCTATCATCTATCATGTATCATCTATGTATCATCTATCATCTGTCTATCTGTCATCTATTTATCTATCTATCTATCTAACAATCATCTATCAATCATCTATCATCTATCTATGATCTATCAATCATCTATCATCTATCTATATATCAATCTATCTATAATATTAAACTCTATCTATCTATCTATCTATCTATCTATATCTATCATCTTTCTATCATCTTCTATCTATCCATCCATCATCTATCTATCATCTATCTATCTATCTATCCATCATCTATCTATCTATCTATCTATCTATCTATCTATCTATCTATCATCTATCTATTTATCTATCATGTATCAAGAACATTAAACTGAGGAGGGCGGTGGTGGGAGCAGTGAGGGGAGGTGCGGAGAGGAGAGGGGATCTAAATACTATCAAATTATACTGTATGAAAATCATACAAATTAAATAAAAAAAAACAGAGGTGATATCAGATCCTTGCAACCTGCTGTCAGAACCACCATCATGTCAGACAGTCCCATGTGAGGACAGAGGCAGAAAACTATTAAACTGAGGAGGGCGGTGGTGGGAGCAGTGAGGGGAGGTGCGGAGAGGAGAGGGGATCTAAATACTATCAAATTATACTGTATGAAAATCATACAAATTAAATAAAAAAAAACAGAGGTGATATCAGATCCTTGCAACCTGCTGTCAGAACCACCATCATGTCAGACAGTCCCATGTGAGGACAGAGGCAGAAAACTGCCCTGTGCAGTGAGAAAGGCAGCTGTCGGGAGCAGCAAGGCCACAGAGCCCTGGCTTTTCTGGCTTCTCATCCCTGAGAACAGTATCAAAAGCCTAGGGGCCCACATCAAAAATTCCTGTGCCATTTGCCCTGAAATTCCGTGTGATTGCAAGTTGTCTGTTCTAAAAAGGCTCACAACTGAAATAGAACAGCATGAAATGTGGCCTCTTTCAGACAAGGATGAACCCTGTCATATTGGAATAAATTGGGGCATTGTTGGGGAGATCGAAAAATTCCAATTTACAGATAACTATAGGGATGAAAAAAAGTAGGATTTTCCCCATAAAAGAAGTGTATTTTCAGTATCCAACGGGGCTGAAAGTAGTTTCTGTTTTGCTTAAATGTGCATTTTTCTACAATAAAAATGGTAATGCAAAATAAATGGAGTTTGCTTTTCTGTCTTGTCACAGTAAGTTGCTTTTTAAATGTCCAATTTCACTTTGTCACCCCAACACCCATTACGTTTGTCAGGCTGACATAATGTGTTAAGTGTTATAAGCCAAATGCCTGCACTATTTTGAAATCAAAGCCTGGAAGATATTGTGTATGACAAATTAAACAGCAAGTATAAATTGTATAATTTGGTGGATATTTGAAAAACACACTCTCACCCAGATTGACTAAATCATGAGCCCATATTATTCTGAGTAATGTATATAGTAATTAGCTCAATGAGGGGGCGCTAATCTCTCCAGGTGTTTCCAAGACCCAAATTTTAATATGATCAATGGTAAGATAAGAAATATGAAGTATCTGGTATCTGTGTAGGCAAAGAAAAATAAAGAAAATAAAGAAGTAAAATTCAAGTTTTCATGTATTTATAGACAAATGGGTACATTTATATTACTATGTATAAAGTAGAATGTCTCTTTTACAGGTCAAATTTGGTAACAATTTAATCTGGTTCATTTTAATGTAGAATCTCACATACTCTGCATGACAGCTTTAAGACATTGACATTGTCTCCCATTTAAAGAATGAAATGGGGGCTGGAGCGATGGCTCAGTGGTTAAGAAAACTGACTGCTCTTGCAGAGGACTGGGGTTCAGTTCCCAGTACAACTAACAACTGGAAGCTAACAACTGCCTGTAACTCCAGTTCCAGGGAATTCAACACCCTTTTCTGGCCTTGGAAGGCTTTTCAAGACACAAGCACCCTTACATACATGCAGGTAATATACTCACACAATAAAATAAAAATAGTAATATATATTTTTAAAAAACAAAAAACGAATAAAGAGATGACAGATCTGGAACAGAGGGTCCGTTTTTCCTATTGGTGTGTCACCTGGTAGGTTGACCAGGATCTAAGGCACTAACACACTCCCAAGAACACTTGGGAAGCAGATTAGACTATATAGGCCCATAGGCCTTGAACATTTTTCTCAAAAAGGGCAAATAATAAAAGAGGACATAAGCTTATGGGATATAGTAAGGTGGTCATGGGAAGGGGCTGTGAATATGATCAAAAGAAATTAAAGTTCTCAAATCAATAAAAGGATTTTAAAAGCTGGGCGTGGTGGCACACACCTTCAATCCCAGCACTCGGGAGGTAGGCAGATCTCTGTGAGTTCGAGGCCAGCTTGGTCTACATTGTGAGTTCCACACCAGCTGGGGCCACAGGGAGACCGATCTCAAAAAGACCAAAAAAAGATTTTAAAAAGAAGAGATGAGGCTTAAAATATCAAGCATCTTGTTGCTTTCTATAGTGCTCTGCTGTACTTCGCATCAGGTAGTGAGTGCAACTGCACTCACAGAGGGTTTGGAAAGGTGACATCGAGATTTTCTTACCTCTGTTTGTACCATGGCTGGTCGCTGTGTTCTTAACATTTTGACGGTCTGGAAGATATCTACCACGCCTTCATATCTCATTCTTTCCAATACAATGCTCAGGGTTATGAAGACGCCAGTCCTTCCAACACCAGCACTACCATGAGGGCAGAGGCAAAGTGAGTCACCGCGTGCCTAGCCTTGGCCTCACCTGCTTTGGAAGCAGACATCTTCTACCAGCTTCCACATTTCACATTTCTCCACATGTCCAGGATGATGTGGGAATGAGTTCACTAAGTGATTACTCTTGGGATAGTGCATTGGGATAACACACGGGAAAAAGTAATTAGGACTGTCTTATAAAATAAAATGTACTCCTGTAAGGGTGTATAACTGATTGATAAAGTCAGGAAATCATACCATCAAATAAATAGGAAAACAAAAAGTACAAATAAAATATAGGGTTCTGCATTTCATGCAGATCCTAAAAATGAAGGCCTTTGCCTACATTTCAGAAAATGGTATAAAATAAATTAGAATAAGGCGAAACATATTGGGAAGGTTCAACTTTTTTCATGCATTAATCACATAATCTGTGAAGGAAGTCTCACTATCTAAACAGTCAACAAGTACATAACAAGGCACTATAGACCATTTAAATATTGACACTGGGTTGGATATAAAATGTTCAGATTCCAAAACAGGACTTTCTCATATTAGAGGGGAGCTCTTTCAGTCTTCAGGAAACTATGAATATCAAACATGCATAGATTGGAGAAATATATATTATTTTCCCTAGTTCATGAAGGAACACCTTTTGAAAGTCTCAAAAGGGCCTTAACAGTAGAGCTAAAAGCCACTGAGTTCCACACTAAACTACTTATTTTTAGGTGGCCAGCAGCTAAAATCCCAAGATTTTTTTCTAGCATGTCAGCAACATTTTTAGTTTCTGTCTGTTTCCTTTAGTATTTTAAGAAAATTTCAGGATCTTCAGGGGAACAAGGAAGAAAAGTAACTGAGAGCTCTTGGACACCTAAGTAGGAAAGCATCTGGACGTTCAGGTAATAAGGACAGCCAGCAGTCTGAAAAAAAAAGTATCCCTGCATTTTTGGATCTAATTAAATGGTGTGTGTAACGCTTGGGCACAGACTGTAGAAAATAGATGGATTCATTTACTTCAGGATGTAGCTGACAGGCATATATAAATAGTGTGTGCCTTTATAAACTGCAATTTCTCATAAATCTAAAGAGAAATGTTAAGTGAGGCTTCAAAATCAATGGGCAGTTGTTAAAAAGGAGCCGAAGATCTGACTCCAACTGCAGTCAAGGCTCTGTTAAGATGGAGCAGATGGTCCTGAAGGTTCCTTCAACCTTGAAAGTCTCTCCGTCCTGAAAGACTGTGATTTATGATACTTTTGTTGAGAAGTTCAGACACTCGAGTCTGCCTAACTTTGATTTGATTAATCAAATCTAACAGAGAAGTATGTCTAGCCTTTTACTAAGAATTTTCAAGAACAGGTATTGTCCTTAGTTCTGAATTTATTGATTTTTATCATGGTAGTTGAACAGGACAGAAATGAATGGTATTTTCAGGACATTCACAGACAAGAGAAGATATCTCTCTGGAAGTCTACAAGATATAAAGAAGATAGGTGAATACCATGTTCTAAGGGAGAGGGTCTCAGTCGCTGCAGAATGACAACCACAGTGAAAAATAACATATACATGATTATGGGAACACCTAAGCTGAAGACATGAATACTGTATTCTTTCCCTGATAGATCATATTGGGAAAGCCTGAATTAGCAGCCAGAGATATCCTATCCTAAAACTGGCTATTTCAAGTCAATTATAACATCAACTTTGCTCTTGGGTTTTATAGAGCAAAGGGTTTTTAACATCACGAAGCAAATATTCTCATGTCTGAGAAACAATGGGCGGCTACACAGGATCATGGAGACGAGCAGAAAAAAAAAAACAAAACAAAACTGAAGGCCATTGTAAGACATCTACACAGTAGCACACAGCCCAGACTAGAAAACATAGACCCTGCCTGAAGTCCACATCTAAATTTTCTACTCTTTTGAGATCTTGCTTCCTATGACATTAAAAACCATGCTTTTTAAAAGCACTGGAACATAATACTTTAAAAAAAAAACCCTTTCAAAATTTTGACAATAAAAAGATTAGAAACCGAGACTTCAAGCTGCTATAATCCAAAAATACAGCAATCTTTACAATCAGGTGAATTCCTTTTACTGTAATGTTTTTGCACAGCCACTTCCAAAACCACTAAATTTATGGTGGATGTCTAAATCGTTTACTTAGTATTCCTATTAACCTCAATGACTTAAATTATAAAATGCTCTAGAAACTGTTCAAATAATTAAATTGAAGGTGCTTTATTTTCTGATATAGCAACAATTTTCTAGCAAATTGCATTTTTAACTGAGAGACCATACTAATCATTTATTGACTTGCAGGAATTAGTATTGTTAAGGCTTGACAGCTACTTATGGTTTTCCAAGAAGACAAACAAAGGAGAAAGATACAGAAAGATAGCTATAAATGCAACTGAATGAACAGCAAAGCAAAGGAAGGAATGATTAATACCACCAATTATTGCTAAGGTATATACCAACAATTCCTGGTAAGGCAAAATTGTCTTTTCTTATAAGACATAAATTTGGGGGCTCAGAACTTTTCCTCTAATTCTTTTCATTTTATGGAAAGAAAGAAAAGAATCTTTCCTTCATGTTTCATAATACATTCTGAAAATAAAATTTTAATTACACAGATCCACTACAAGGTTTTACAGAAAGTAAATGAACAAGAACACATTATTTTCAAATCATACTGTCAATCTATGCCGACTCACCTGCAATGCACAGAAATAGGCCCATCTTGGCCAAACTGCTCCTTTGTTTTATGAACTTGGCCGATGAAGTCAATAAATCCTTCTCCAGACTTTGGCACCCCTTGCTCTGGCCAGTCAGTGAACTGGAACTGCCTCACTGTTCGGGACTGACCGTCCTTTGGAAGGAAAGCCACATACTGAGCCACAAACATGGGTGCCAAGTGGATCCAGCAAGCACACAGACCACAAGGGCAATCACCATTTTTTTTCCCCAAAACTAAAGAGTAGAAAAGTTAGTAACACGTCTAAATGGAAATTTAGTTTGGTATGTTTTTGTTTGTCTTATTGGCTACTAACACTGCCTGCATTTATATATATAGTATATGTGTATATTTATGTATATTTAAATTCAAATGTATTTATTCTCACAACACCTTGTTAAAATCTAAGTTGTGTGATATTTCTCCTATTAATAAACTTTCTGAGACCCAAAGTTTAGGTTTAAAGCCATGAATTATACATACATATATACATACATACATACATATCTCCTAAATGGAACATACATACTCTACTTCAGAATCTAATCCCTTTACACTGGAAGCTTATACAGGCATATTGTCTAGGTCAGAGGTTTGCTGTTGTCATGATAATGTCACATCTGCCCTGCTTGCTGATTTCAAACACTGTAAATGATAAATGGTGATATTTAAAGGATCTGACACAAACGAGGTAGTTGCTGTTGACCTGGCTGCCCCACATATCCCCAAGACACACAATTTCTGGCCATGTGGGAGACCTGGCATAAACCAAGCAATGATGCTGTTAAGGATGCTTCGCTTCCTGCTTAAGGAGACCAAGGGGTAATTTTTGAATAGATCCTTTTCTGTAAGAGGATGCCTACTGGCTGCCCCAAGAATTAAACAGGCTACACAGAGGATCTGAAGGATTTACAGAAAACAAACCATATGGAAGAGGAGTCTTTCTTTTCTAAAGAGAGTAGACAAAAGTGCTCTGAACTCATGAGGTTCAGTGTTGAGATAAGGAAGTAGTGAAGCACTTCTCATTCTTTCTGGATTTGTTTTGAGGCAGAAAAGCCCAGGCACGCTTTGCTCACCAACAGCGTTACATCTATCAAATGTTTCCTTTGAATTTTCAGAGGACACAGACAACTGAAGCCCATGCTGAAAGGGATGGATCCCTTTTGAAGTGATGCTCCAAGTGGCTCCCTCCTTCCCGCTCTTGGTCGTGCATTTTTCCTTGTTAACACACTTTATACATAAGCATGCATACTCTCAGTACTCTTGGTAGGTGGAGAGGACTCCAGTCCCAGACAAACTGAAAATAGAGGTGGCCGAACTGAAGATGAGCGCACGCCAGCTTCCCTGGAAGATCATGTCAACTCCATGAGAACAAAGGGGAACACAACACCATACTTCCAGATGCTTACCATGGAAGCATGATTTAATTCCCTCTTTTCCCAGAAGAGGTTTTGAAAGTGCAGGAAGGAGAACCAGAGGCTAGGCAATGTAGCATTGTTCCTTAAATGTCTTGGGATTTCATTTCTGACCACAGCGGCTTTTAATAGTAAGAAGAGGTCATATGCACAGACCCTTACCCTATGGAGGAGACTACCTGACTGTTTATAGGTTACCTGTTAAACAATGCTGTATTCTCAAGTGCCAACTTGCTTTCTGAACTCAGAATTTGAAATCAGAAGCATACTAGGAGCATGAACAAGGGCTCTGGTAACGAATGACAGAAGGACTTCTTTAAAACCTGTGTGAGCAAGTTCCTCTATTAATCTTTCTTCTGCTTATTGTGATCAGATTTAATTGGGGAATGTAAGGTGCAGTAAATGCTCTTCTGCCACTGGCTGAGCCTTGACTGGGAACTTAGGAGTTTTACTCACATGCCAGGCTTCCAATTCAGAAGGGGACCCCTTTTATCTTGTAAACAAGAATGCAGGCCGCTGGGGTGTGCTTATTTGGGCAATTAAAAAATGAACCTTTGGGACAACGGCAAGCCTAATGTAGTCCCCTTCTGGGTAGTTAATTCATTACATTTTCTAGGATTAACAGGTCAGTCATCTGGGTCAACCTTACTGTTAATCTCCTCTCTCTCTCTCTCTCTCTCTCTCTCTCTCTCTCTCTCTCTTCGCTCTCTCTCTCTTGATCTCTCTCTCTCTCTCCCCTTCTCTCTCTCTTTCCTCCCTGACCCCCGTGGGTCAACATCTAAGACTAGACTTTGGGAATTTGCAGACAGTCTACAAATATGAGGTTGGAGGAAGCTAATTTACACAACCACCACCACCACCACCACCAACAACAACAACAAAACACAAAAAACAAAAACAATCAAGTGAGTCGAGTGAGTACACAGCTGTACCCTGGAGCTTTATTTAACCCACCCACTGTGATGGTTCCCAAATAAAGCAGGGCTTGAAATGACCTGGTCTCCCCCAAGATGTGTTTGTAATCATCGTTTGAAAGTGACTAAAGGCAAAGATGTTAAAGTTTATGCATAAAACATCTTACATCAGGGCTGAACCTTGCACTCAGTAATCTTGATAAGAAATGTGGAATGAAAATTAGTCAACAAGGGTTGTGGGTGCATGGCTCCCATGGCCAGACACATTAGCACATGGAGGAATAAACCATGCCAGGAATCAAATTAGAATGTGCAAAGCTCGTCAGATTCTTCTAAGGAATGCCATTTGCTCTGCAGTTTTAAAATCATACCAAATTAACCTATAAGCCCACATGACCTAAGGGGCTTCACAAATAACAACATATTTCCAGCCTCAAGTCATGAAGAAATACAAAGCTCTCCAATGAAAATGAGCTGAGAAGATGAATGCAAGTAAGCACAGCCACCCAATCAATGAATCCTTGCAGCACAAGCACTCACCAAGTGGGTCCCTCAAGCTGGGCTGCCAGATGTTACATTTGAAGGGAAGCCAAGTCCAGGTTTATGAGAACATTTCCCAGACAGAGGAAAAGTTACTGATTCTTTTCTTTTGAAGCTATCCATAATGGGTGATTTCTTCTCTTTTTGTGAATGTGGCACTCTGGCAAATGTTTCTCCCAGAGAAGCAACCTTAAGCCTAATTTCCAGTTAATGGCCAAGAGTTGAACTTACCCTGGCATCTGTGACCTTGAATTCCCTCAGGATATACTGAGGCATATTGTATTCAGCCATGGGATCTACAACAAAATACTGGTATCTTGCAGATCGTTCTGCTGGCCAGTATTGGTGACATTTCTCCTAAAACGAGAGATTAATGTTCAAGTGTATAAGGTATAGATAGAGCTTTGGCTATCTTAATACATTCTCTCATTAATAAAAATTTTAAATGCAAGGCAATTCTGATTGCAAATAACTGATCTTTCTGAACCTCTATCTTGAAGATAGAAAAACTATCTGGTTTAATATTTACCCTGGAGGCCCTGCACAGAATCTGGCAGACTATAGGTACCTCTGACAAACCAGTTGATCAGAGCACTTTGCTAGGGCAGATGTCTTTATGTCTATGAGTTGTTAAAATAATTACATTAGTTCTGGGGCAATGCTGCCCATTTCAGTCCTGTATTACGTCAACTCTGTACCAATGTAGTTTGCAGTGAAGAGATAATCAATGACAATGCAGAAAGAAGCCTCTGCATTGATCCAGCTCAATCTCATTTGTCTCACTGACGAATCCAGGGCCCAGGCAGCCAAATTAGAACAAGCCAGATACTTTTCTGGTCTGATATCTCTTATTGCTTTTTCAGTGAGCTCTAAAGTTCTGCTTTAGCCACAAACTTATCATTTAATTTATAAAGACAAGAGAGAATGAAATCATCTCAAAAAGCATGGCAAGAATGACTGTGGAGACTGTACCACATGGCAGGTCTTCAACTAAATCTAATGTTATTTTATGTGTCTTTCAGAATAGTCATTTTTGAAAGTGGATTGGGGATAATAATATGTTCAAAATCATGTAACTTTCTAACATCCAGGGATGGCAGAGTTTGATCTAGGGCTGGAAGTCAAGAAAGTCAAGTTCCTTCATATAGGGAAATGACAGCCCATTTGACCATGAAACTCTAACCTATTCAGAGCAAAAGATGACAAGAGAATGCTGAGCGTCAGACGTCAGTCAGCGGATACCAGCTGATTTATTTGTCTCTGTAACTGTACCTCATTGCACACAAAGTACTAGATCTCTCCCTAAAACAGGCAAATTAAAAAGCTTCATGTGATTTTGCAAATTAAAAAGCAAGATATACGAGTGGTTCAGATTGGGTCTAGAATGCACTGCATTTCAAATAAGTGACACTGGTCCTTGACTCATAGAAAGGAAATCCCTTTTTCTACAGAGAGTCATGTGAAGTGACGTACTTACTCTGCCCATTTCTCTCAGCTTGGTGAGCATCACAACAATGGTGGAGTTGTGCTCCCACAGCATCCGCCAGAAGTCTTCAGTGGTTTCCGCTAAGGGCCCCTGGGTAGCAATGTAGGCTTTCTGCTGTCTGATTGGAGAGAGGGAAAGGAGCTTGTTAATGCATTTCAAGGACATGCATGAGTATAGAAATACAGAAACAGAACATGAACACATTTTATTAATGCAATTACAGTAAACTTCCATTAGGATTGCATAATCAAACAGTAGTATTTAATACATGTCGGGGACTTTGAAAAATCAATTGCTTATTAATATTTTGATGTATGGTTTTTAGCACAGTGCTACTAGTTCTGTTTCATATATCACACAAATCACTTAGGAAGTGCTTTGTTGTATGACTTCATTTTCTAGAAATGATCAAATAATCTATTAAATTTATTAAACTAATGAAAAATGACACAAAACAGCTTCTTTATTAACTCTATGAAAGAGTAGGGTAGAAGGTCAGATTGAAAAAACAAAACAAAAACAAAAACCATCTAACGGGAGGCTGGGGAGATGGTTCTGCTGGTGCAGTGATTTCTGGGCCTGCTGGGCAAGTTTGAGGACCTGAGTTCAGATCCTCCAGATTCACATAAAGTTCTAAGACTGTGCAGAGGGGCTGAGACAGGTGAATGCCAGCAGCTCATTTGTCACCTAGCCCAGCAAATAGGTGAGTGCCAGGTTTCATGAGAAACTTTGACTCAAAAAATGAGGTGGACAATGGAAGTTGGACCTCTGGCATCCACATGCACAAACACACATGCGTTCATACCACATCCACACACCCACATAAGCATGTACATACAACACACACACACACACACACACACACACACACACATCAAGCTTTGTAACTTTTTTTTTTCTGTCTAAAATGAAAAAAAAAAACAAAAAACCAAACCTAAGCGATTGAATGATGATCTGTGCAAAAAGGAAATGGCTTTGGGCTCAGATGAAATTCTTTCTGGAAATACCAAGGCTTTGGATTGCTGGGGAACAAGCCTATATACCTGTATCCATCAAGAAAACTGGCGTTGATGTAATCAGATCCTTCTACTCCTCGGATAGGCTGCAGGCATACTCGTGTGGATTCATATGGCATAATATTAACAAGGCGATTCTTGAATTTATTACAAGGAAGATTGGCACTGATGAATCTTGAGGTGTGAGCTTTTGAGCTGGCTAGACGCTGTTGAGTACAAAAAGAGAAATGTTTCACCAAGATGATTTTAGCCAGTGGCTTGAATGCAGAGCACCTCGGATACCCTTTTTAGATATAAATATTGTGCTTACTTGATATTCAAACTGTACTTCCTTTTACCTACTTATTCCATATAGCCTACTGTAATTTTTGAATATTGCATTTCAACAGCATGATTTCTCAGTTCTAATTAGGACACAGAAGTACTGTGTTAGGCACCGAAGAACAAAGGAGGAAAAAGAAGAGAGTGTTTCATGATTGGATACTCAAGAAGATCAAATGTCTCTTGTACTTTAAAACTTGAATGATTAAGAAGTGAGGTCTATTTCTAAGACAAAATTCATTGCTGGTGAGTAACTATATCCTATCCAATGTCTTACCTTAAACTCTAGTTCCATTCCTGTGACATTCTCCCCTGCCTCTACTTGTGTCAGCTTCTGAATGTAGGCAAACAAGTTCCTAGCCGGCACTTCGGTATTTCCACATGTCACTGCCTCTAACAGCGCATCATGGATAAAGATGTATTGGTCTTCTGTTTGAACCATGTAATTCCTCTGGGCTCTCATTAAAGTTACATGGCCATAAATATCTACAGTTTTTTCATGCTTTATTCTTTCTAACATGGCATCTATTACGATGAAACACCCAGTCCGGCCAACACCTGCACTGTAAGAAAAACAGAGGCAAAAAATGTCCACATAAACTTATGAAGAAACCAATATGAGTTTTTATTATTTTTATTTACTAGATTTTATACTCATGAATTCTACTCAAATAGCTATTATGATGATTTTGAATCACTCTAGAGTAAGAAATATTATAAAAGTACCAGTTATCAGAGTATGTAGAACAATGAGTAAAATTCATTTCATTTCATAATGTAGAAATACTAAATCTGTAATTACCTCACTCCTTGATCAGGTCATACAATGTGGGTGTTATTTTTAAAACATAAAATGATAGAAACATTAATTAGGCTGTTTATATTCAGATAGAATGTTTAAATACTGGTCAAGACCTAATGAGGGAGCCATGTGTTATAATGCATGCCTGTAATGCAATCCTAGAACTTGGCAGGTGGAGACAGGATGATCAGGGTTTCAAGGCTAGCCTGAACTACATAGTTTGAGGCTAGCCTGAATTATATAAGATTACATAAGATCCTGTCTCAAAAACACTGACAAAACAAAAAGATCTAATTAGGCTTTTTATTTTTTTATTTATTTTTTGTCTTTTGGGCACAGGGTCTCCCTGTAACCCCAGCTGGCCTAGAACTCATTATGGATACCAGGATGGCCACAGTCTCACAGAGATCCGCCTGCCTCTGCCTCCCAAGTGCATGAGCCACCACCTGGCTACTTAGGCTATTTTTAATGAATAATTTTAGTTTATTTTAGCTCAATTTATAAAAATAAAGGTGAAAACAAAGCATGTACTAAATCACTCAACTATTTCTTATTCTATAATTCTGTACAGAAGCTTTAAAACTAGCCCAGTGGGATATTTAAACTTAAGAAATGAAAATATTGTTTTGTGTTAAAAATAATGCAGGGTATGTTGAAGAGAAAGTCTCAATAAATAATAGAGAGCATATTCCTTTTGTTTTTATTCTACTTGCTTCTGGAGTTGAATATGTTTGGAAATGCTTAGTGAGGTCTCAATCTTTGTTACACAAAGAGCTTTAAGGCAATTCTTAAACTCCATTACTTGTGGACTTGCAGGTCATGTTCCAGTTGGAAGGAACTGATTCAAAGGAAAAGACATGAAAGGGACAATGCATAATAGCTGGAAAGGTCTGCTGCTCCATGGAGACAGTCTCATTTAGTGACCTGGATTACAGAAGCAGGGGCTTCAAATGCTGGAGGATCTTCTGGTACGGAAAAGGGTACTGAGAAAATAACAAATCTGTGTTCCTACAGTCGCAAGGTGAGCCTTGCATGTTTATTTTATGGAATACTTCAAGCTGCGTACATTTATGTTTTGAATAGTTCAATCCAAAATCTCCTTTTGATTATGCATGTTTACATGGATGCTAAATATGCAGTCAGCAGGAACAGGCCCACATTACCACCTTAGACTCTGTCCTAGTTTGCTTTTTTTTTTTTTTTTTTTTTTCTTTTTGAGACAGGGTCTCCCTGTAGCCCCAGCTCTCCTGGAACTCACTATGTAGACCAGCCT